TTGACCTTGCTTTTTTTCCTAGACAAAGCTGGGTTTTTATCGCACATATAGATGTTCTCCTTGCTGGACTAGTTTTACACCAGATAGAAGCATCACCCTTGTCCTCACCTATTTAAGGTCTCTGCTCAAATGTCACTGTCGATGAGGCATTCTCTGGGTATTCTTAAGTTTCTCCATCCACATTTCCTATCTTCCATCCTTGCTTCATTTTTCTCCATAGCACTATATATGCTTTCCTTATTGATCTGTATATGCTGTGTATCCCTACTCCCCAACTGACATGTAAATTCCATGAGGATGGGGGCTTTTATCTCTACCTTGAATGATGTCGCTTGAACAGTGTATGAAACATATTAGGTGCTCAATATTTTTTGTTCAAATTAAGGAATTAAAGATGCTTTCTCAGCAGCCATCTGCTTAATTCTCAAACTTTCACCTTCCTGTGGAATCCTTCTGGCACCTCCTTATCCAGTATTTCTTCCCCAAAGTCTTCTCTGCCTGAATAAGTTTTTCTAAGTGGCAATCTCTTACTTCCATTAGTGTACAACTTTTAGGCAATGCTTGCAGCCCTCCCCAGTAGCATGAAGTCACTGCTTAGCAGATCCAATTTATTGTAAATTTCCTTTTTGCCTGCATCCCTGTCCTCAGAGTTAGTCTGCACATCTCACTTCCTGCCCAGGCCCATGATGTAGGTGATTGTCACTTAGTAAAACCGCAGCATACTTAAAACACAAATTTATATTAATGTTAGTCTTGTACTCTTGGACTTCCCTGGTGGCCCAGTGGCTAAGACTCCACACTCCCAATTCAGGGAGCCTGGTTGGGGAACAAGATCCCAAATGGCACAACTAAAAGTTCATATACTACCACTAAAGATCTCACATGCCACAGTGAAGACCTGGCAGAGCTGAAGAAATAAATAATATTTTTTAAAATTTATAAAACCAAGTAAAACGTGATTCTTGAACTCTTGCTTCAATTCATAGGTGTATGCTATAATTAAGGCTGTCAGACTCAGCACCATCCTAAATAAAGAACTCCTCCTCTTGGAGGGCACAAACAAATAAAGAACACCCAGTTAAATATTTCATGGAACATACTTTTATTAAGACTTACTTGTTGTATTTCTGAAATTCAACTTTACTGAGGCATGATGTATTTTAGCTAGCAACCCTACCTATGGACATAGATATTGTTGAAAGGGCATTTTCAGCCTGATTATTTTCCAGAAAAACTGTATGCAAAATAGCTATATTATCCAAGTCTCCAAATAAGACACACTTGGATTATTTCACTGTATTAAAAAATACCAGAAATAGGGAGTACTCCCTTGAAATTTAAGGAAGTGATTTTGAATTTAAAAGAAATTGAAACACTTAATGTAGTAATAAACATATGGAATTTATAAATCCCAGGAAAAGATCCAGGTAGAACATTTTTGAAAAAAAAAAATCTTTTAAAGGTTTTAGAAACATTCATGTGCAAAAACTCAAATCAAATAAAGATGATAAAACACCTTCTGTATTTTGGGCACTCATGATCCAGACTAGAAGACACTGTCTCTGCACTTAGAGTCTGCTAGTAATACAGATATAATTCAAAATGACAATATAGTGTTAGGAGAAAAATAGAAGTAAATAAAAAAGTGCAGTTGTAGCAAGAAAGTGGTTGGTTATCTGTAGTTGGGGAAAGATGAGAGTAAAGGGAAAGCTCTCTAGTAGATGACCCTTCAATTTGGTTTTTAAAATCCATTTTATTTGGGGTATAGTTTACATATAATAAAATTTATCCATTTAAAATCTATTTTGATAAGTTTTATTTTATTTTTATAGGTTTACTGATGCATAGTTTATGTAAACTGTAGCCTTTTTAGGTGTACAGTTCTATGAATTTTGACAAACATACTCAGTTGTTTAACTACCACCACAATCAAGATATAGCGTATTATTTGAAAGTTGCTAAGAGAGTAGATCTTAAAAATTCTCACCATAAAGCAAAAAATAACTATGTGAGGTGATGGATGTGTTAAATAACCTCATTGTGGTAATCATCTTGCTATCTTTACATATTATCAAATCTTCATGTTGTACACCTGAAACTTGGACAACATTATATGTCAATCATATCTCAATAAACCTGAAAAAGATGCCTAAAATAAAAGATAGGGTATTTCTTCTATCCGGAAGACTTCCTTCATGCCCTGCTGTATTAGTTTTCTATTGCTGTGAAAACAAATTACCACAAACTTCGCGGTTTAAAACAACATCCATTTATTAGCTCATATTTCCGTAGGTCAGAAGTCCAGGCACAGAGTGTTGGTTTCTCTGCTCAAGGTCTCACAAGGCTGAAATCAAAGTGTTCCCCAGGCTTGAGTCCCTTTTTGGAGATGAGTAAAAAATTTGCTTTCAGGCTCATTCAAGTGATTGGCATAATTCAGTTCCATGGGGCTGTAGGACGGAACTTCCCCATTTTTTTTTTTGACACTTGACCCCTCCATCCTCAATCCAGCAACAGCAAGTTGAATCCTTCTTGTGCTTCAAACATCTCCCCCTTCTTCCTCTGCTTCTAAGAGTTCATATGATTACATTGGGCCTACCTAGATAATCCAGGTTGATCTTGTCATTTTAAGATTAAATGACTAATAACCCTAATTACAACTTCAGAGTTCCTTTTGCCATGTAACATAATGTATTCACGGGCATAAAACCCGGACTGAAGGTCACAGGGGCTCAAAATTCTGTTTCCCTCGCTTTTAGTATCAATCCCTTTGCTGCACTCTAGCTTCGGGCAACCTCTGATCTGATCTCTGTCCCTGTAGTTTATTTTTTCCAGAATGTCATATACATAGAATTATACAGTTAATAGTATTTGAGTCTGACTTTTTTTTTTTTTTACCCAGCATAAGGCTCTTGAGATCTATCCATTGTGTGGATAAGTAGTTCCTTTTTATTGTGGGATAGGTAATATTTCATTGTATGGATATGGCATAGTTTGCTTCACCTGATGAGGTGGGCCAGGTGGTAGTCACACTCATCTTAAGGGAATAGGGAGAGGACAAAGGCTAGGAATCACTTAGCGATCTGAAGTTGCACGTAGATGCACACATTCAGGGGATGACCGGGTCCTAGGAGATCATCTATACGCACCACTTTTTAAATAAGAGAAACTCCAAGAGTTTAACTAATTGCTCAAATCACACACCTGGTCAGTCCCTGAATTGGGACTTAAACCTATATCTGACAAGAATTACATTGGTTATTTCTAACTATTTTTAATGTGGTAAAGTTATGGATCTTTTCTCCCAAAAAGTTTATTATGCAGGTACATACCACCCCTAGTTTAAGAACTCCTGTGCCATGGCACTATTCTTCAGCATGACCTAGAGCTCTGTGGGTACTTTGTGTTGATAATTTCTCCCCAGATATAGGACTAAATCTTTCTCAGATTCCTTATGGTTCTAAAGGTTGGGTGGGGTGGTAGGGGATAGCATGTACTAATGAAGACATTTCCTGAACTTATGGGACATTTTGATGGGTTAGCAGGGGTTCCCAAACTTTTTTTTTTAAAGAGCCAGAAAATAAATATCTTAGGCTTGCATGAATATAGTTTCTGTGACAAAACTCATCTCTGTAGTTGTAGACCGTATGTAAGTGAATGAATGAGCACAAGAGCACAACTGTGTTCCAATAAAACTTTATTTAAAAAACCAAGTTTTGGGCCTTCAGGTCATAATTTGCTGACCCTTAGAGTGGTCACAGTCTGTTATAAAGATGTAATGCTATAGAGTCTGATGTGTGTATTTGTATCTCCTCATACATTTACCCTAATCCTTTAGGGCCAATTATAATCATTCCTTGTGATTAAAATTCAGACCATTATTGCAGGTAGGGGCAATTGGAGTAGGAAGACCTAATTTCAAATTCTGTCCTTTATTGTCTGTATGAACCTTGATCCCATTACTTTGAGCATCGTTATAACAGAGTATAAGACCTGGAATATGAGTGTAATAATGGCAGACTTGCAAGGCTGTTGTGAAGCAGACAGTGGTTATTCAGTGATCCTTGATAAATTGAACTGCTTAATAAATTTCACCTCTGTGACATTTGTCCTTTCTTCTGACCATCCCATCATAATAAAGAACCCCATTGTCAACTTCAGTGTCAGTTACTATAAAAGTTAGGTGCAACTAGCTAGGCACATAGGAGGTTTGATAAGGCATAAGGATCAAGAAGCCTCCTGGGAAAGAAATCACCCAAAGTTAAAAAGACTGTCACATAACTTGATTCAAGGGCAGTTGGGTTCATGTTAGGACCTTGGCTAGATTATGTGAGTCTATCACAAATGTCTGTCACAGATATCATCTGGCCCAGCCCCCCCTTGAACCCAGGCCTGAATCTTACATCAAAGTATCTCCAATAAAAAAGCAAATGTAAAGGAAAAAAGTCTTGTTGTAATATGACAGCAACCTCAGCGTCAGCAGCTTTGGCAGCGCCGTGGAGAATGCAGCGTTGGAAGACAGCACATTTCCTATTGGGTACTGACAACCTGGAAATAGATACTGCTTGTCACCAGGCTTGTCCTTGTTAGATACCAAGTGGAGGTTTTGCTTTTGATGGCCATTGGCCAGGACAATATATATACACAGAGCAAGCCCTAGAAGAAGAGAAGAGAAATGGGAGATATGCAGTGGCCATGAGTACTGATTCCCAGAGAACTTGTGAGATATTATCTTGGTTTACCAGGTAGTTTTTGGTGGTGGGCAGTGGGGAAGGGCCAGAAAGATGACATAAGGGAATGTATGGGTACAGAATAGGGAGTGAAGTTACTAGAGTGTGCTTGGGAATGGAGCCAGGAAAACATGAACTTGTGATTCCTCCCTTTCCTACAAAGCTAGTGCAATTGTGGAAACTCAAGTGCAATGCAGTAATATTTAGTCTTCCTGAAGATCCTGTACTTCATAACTTATGACTTTTTTCTTTCTTTTTAAAATTGAACTATAGAGCTTTCACTTTTCGTGCTACCGCGACTAAGATAGAAGCACTGCTGGAGTCGCGGTCCGGACTTCGGGCCGGGAGTCCGGCCCCCGGGCAGTTTTACCGCATTCCGCCCACTCCCGGTTCCTCTGTGGACCCGGCGTCCGCGCTCTACGGGGGTCCGATTACGTGCACCCACAGCCCCATGGTGACCGGGACCTCTGTCCTGGGTCTCAAGTTTGAGGGTGGAGTGGTGATCGCCGCAGACATGCTGGGCTCCTACAGCTCCTTGGCTCGTTTCCGCAACATCTCTCGCATTATGCGAGTCAACAACAGCACCATGCTGGGTGCTTCCGGAGACTATGCTGATTTCCAGTATTTGAAGCAAGTTCTCGGGCAAATGGTGATTGATGAGGAGCTGTTGGGAGACGGACACAGCTATAGTCCTAAAGCTATTCATTCATGGCTGACCAGGGCCATGTATAGTCGACGCTCCAAGATGAACCCCCTGTGGAACACCATGGTCGTTGGAGGTTATGCTGATGGAGAGAGCTTCCTGGGTTATGTGGACATGCTCGGTGTAGCCTATGAAGCCCCTTCCCTGGCCACTGGTTATGGTGCCTACCTGGCTCAGCCTCTGCTGCGAGAAGTTCTGGAGAAGCAGCCAGTGCTGAGCCAGACGGAGGCCCGAGAACTAGTGGAACGCTGCATGCGAGTGCTGTACTATCAAGATGCCCGTTCTTATAACCGGTTTCAAATCGCTACTGTAACTGAAAAAGGTGTTGAAATAGAGGGACCCCTGTCTGCGGAGACCAACTGGGATATTGCCCACATGATCAGTGGCTTTGAATGAAATACAGATGCATTATCCAGAACTGAAGTTGTACCCTTCTTCTAACTTTGAACTTGGCTGGTTCAAAGGTACTATTCTTTTGTAAAATAAATAAATTCTTTGAAAAAAAAATAAAAAAAAATTGAACTATAGTTGATTTACAATGTTGTGTAAATTTCTGCTGCTGCTGCTGTTGTTCAGTTGCTCAGTCGTCTCTATTTGTGGCTCCATGGACTGCAGCATGCCAGGCCTCCCAGTCCTTCACCATCTCCCGGAGCTTGCTCAAACTCATGTCCATTGAGTCAATGATGCTGTCCAACCATCTTATCTTCTGTCACCCTCTTATTCTCCTACCTTCAATCTTTCCCTGCATCAAGGTCTTTTCCAGTGAGTCGGCTCTTCACATCAGGTAGCCAACCTATTGGAGCTTCTGCTTCAGCATCAGTCCTTTCAATGATTAGTCAGGGTTGACTTCCTTTAGGATTGACTGGTTTGATCTCCTTGGTGTCCAAGGGACTCTCAAGTGTCTTCTCCAATACCACAGTTCAAAAGCATCAATTCTTTGGTGCTCAGCCTTCTTTACAGTCCAACTCTCACATCCATACATGACTACTGGAAAAACCATAGCTTTGACTAAGTGATTCATAACCCTCTGACCTTTGCATGTGGGTTTTTGTCCTTCAGCACCATCTTTCCTCTTGAGGTTTTCCTTCCTGAAGTCTCTCCATGTCTTTTGTTCATCCAAAGGTTAACTTCTAGTCCAATTCTCGTCTAAGGTGTAGTATCTTGAATTCAGGCACAGGCTATGCTATACTAGGGAAGTCATTCTCAGGCTTGCTCAACTGTTTTTGTTGCTGTTTAGTCACTAAGTGTAAGTGTTAGTTCCTCAGTCGTGCCTGACTCTTTGCGACCCCATGGACTGCAGCCTACCAGGCACCTCTGTCCATGAGATTTTCCAGGCAAGGGTACTGGAGTGGGTTGCCATATCCTCCTCCAGGGAATCTTCCTTACCTAGGAATAGAACCCATGTCTCCTGCATTGGCAGGTGGATTCTCTACCACTGAAACACCAGGGAAGCCCCTTCTCAGGTGTTATAGTACTTGAAAGTCATGGTGCTCTTTGTGGGACTTTAACAAATGAGATATTTTTTCATTTAGTTCCATGAGAATGAAATAATAGCTGTATCACAGCACCTGTCATTGTGGGTACTTCCTATGTATCAAGCACTCTGCTAATCTCTTTACGTGCATGACTTTATTTGTCTCTCACTATAACCCTGTGCACTGTGTTGAAGATGGAGGCTCAGATATGTTTAGACACTTCCCCAGAGTCAAACAACCTAGAAGTGATAACCAGGATTTGTACTCTGGACTTTAAAGTTTGTGATTGTAACTAATGTACCTACTGCTTCTCCTTATGAACAGTTTTCCTAATAGAAAACATGCCTATGTGACAAGTGGGCAATATTAAATGCAGCCTCTAGAATATGGATTTGAGTACACAATATAAGCTAATGAAAACATATGTTCTGCCAAATACATCATAAATATTCTTTTGCACACCATAGTAACACAGTCTTTTTTGTCCCTCCATCTTATTTATAGTAATTACTTGTACTTCTTTATTTGTCTGGGGTTCATTTAAAAGTGCCAGTTGATAATACTCCCATCATAGTACTATTGTGAGAATTTATACACTATCACCAGTGCCAGCTTTCATAGACTCTCTAAGGTGCTTCACAGACTTGGGGACACATGAAGATAGTCTGCCACCCAGACTGCTTTTTACTGATAGTGTGTTGCTGGAATGGATAGGCCACATGGAGAACAGAGCACAAATGTGTCTAGTCTTGCTTCAAACTGGATATTCTGAAACATGCTTATACAAGAAAGTTAAAAACTTTTTCTTTCATCTTGCCACTTTGTCAATTCTGGTTCACCTCACGTATGTTTCTCTTGGGTGACTTTTCTTCTCATTTTGGTTCCTACTAGATGTCTTAGAGCTTCAGCTTTTGCCCAACTCCAGGTTCAGTAAGTGAAGTACTCAGAATTAGTTTAGATCTTAGCCACCCACTAGGGAGGAATGCTGATACATTTTTGGATTAAGTAATTGTTTAACAGAAAAGGAGATTGCATAGAAAGTAGACAGTACAATTTTGAAATTGGGGGTCAATTATGACTATAAACCACAATATTTTTGTGAAGAATCACAGAATACTTAAATGCTACTTAAATTCTCTTGGTTGTTAATCGCTCAGTCATGTCTGACTCTCTGTGACCCCCTGGACTGTAGCCGGCCGGGCTCCTCTGTCCATGGAGCTCTCTAGGCAAGAATAGTGGAGTGGGTTGCCATTTCTTCTCCATGGGATCTTCTCAACCCAGGGATAGAACTTGTGTCTCCTGCATTGCAGGCAGATTCTTTACCATCTGAGCCACCAGGTCAGTGATGTTAAATGCTCTTAACACCACCTTAATACATCACACTAATGATTGCCCATCTCACTGTAAGCAATGAATAAGAGGTAGCCATTACTTTTGTGATGATGATGATGGATAGACAGCCAATTGGAGTGTTCTCAAAGACTATTCAGATTTCTTAAGATGCATAAAAAAATAAAAAAGTGAAATTCAAACTAGAAAGATGTAGCTATTTACTTTGGTTTTTTTTTCCATTTATTTTTATTAGTTGGAGGCTAATTACTTTACAACATTGCAGTGGTTTTTGTCATACATTGTTGAATCCATAACATGTGTGATGTCTGTGATTGCTATTTGTCCCTCAATATTCATCCTTTCCTTCTTTCTCTTAGTAACGGAACTACCTAAGTTTTGACTCAGTCAAAGACCTCATATTCCAATCTGCTTTGCGGCTAAGTTTGGCCATGCCACCGCCTGGCCAATGACGTGTGAGTGGCAAGTGCAGCCTCCAGGTCATATTCTTAAAAGGAAACTGCTTGCCCTTCACATCCTTATTCCTTTTCTCATGAGAATTGAGTGAGTGTTGATCATGTGAACAAGGAAAGCAAAGATAGAAGAACCCCAAGGACTTGGATGCCCTTGTGGAGCAGAGCTACCTGCCTCCAAACTGTTACAAAGGAGAACAACAATTTCTATATTGTTTCAGCCACTGTATTTTTTAGTTTCTTCATTATTTATCAACTTAGCCTAATACATGAAATAAAATGTCTGGTACAACGCCCATCAACTATAAAAGAAAATCACACATTTTAAAAAGAAATGCAAATAAGAAAAACGTATCATTAAAAATGGAATCTAAAAATGTGGGGGGAAAAGTACCAGTTGATACCAAATGATGCATTGTTTGCTACTAGCAGCTGATGCAAGAAAGGATGGACAATTGCCTCTTTAGGATGCACTCCTGATTACTTCCAGAAATCGTTCTTTGAAAAACAAATTTATTTTAACCATTCTCTTTTCAATGTCTTTCACAGAAGTTAAAAAATCTTTAACAGTTTTAAAGAGTAGAGAGTTAGAGATGTTCACTAGAAAGGTGTCTGAGACTTTTCTTTTAACATGCTTTCTTTGGCCAAAAATGTCAGGACTATTCAAGTAACAGAACATTTGCCATTTTTATCACCAGTCGCTCATCACTGTTGCTCAGAGAATGAAGAATTTTTCTTTTTGGGTGTCAGAACTCTCCTCAGAATTGACATTTATGCCCCACCATGAAGGATGTATGAACATTCACACTGTGAACAGCTTCAGCTTCCAAACCACACCCAGGAAAACAAATGACAATTGCCTAGGTAAGACTGGAGCCAAGCCTACATTTGTCTTCTTAGTTTCAACCTCTTTCACCTTTATGCCAACTTGAACACTTAATCCCATGGTAACTACAGAAAAATAGGTCTTTCTGACTTGACTTTATCCATAAGCCTAAGATTTTAGATCAATGATAAAACAGCAAAATAACAATTGCCCTGACAGCCTAGTTGGACTGCTCTCCTTCAGATCCCCTGAATAAAACCTTAGCTTGGACACTTGACCTAGTCAGGTTCCATGAGCTATTCTTGACTCAATCACCCAGGTTCTCTGTCTTACTTTTGTTCTAGTCTGTTCTTGTTACTTCAGCCCTTTCTCTTATGGTTTACACTTGATTCAGAGTCATCTTAAATTCTAGGTTGTCTGCACATTTATATTTTATCTCTCATGAGCCACATCCACATTGCCTACATTTTCTTCAACATACATGAATTTGCTTTTCTTAAAATAAAATACATAGACATACATAGACAATACAGATGGTTCTTAGGAGGGATGAATCATCACATCCTCAATACATAATGTAATTGGTACATAATATCAAAGTAACATGCCTTCAAGGTCTCAGAGAAGAAACAGGGACTTTTATAGGAAATGTCTGTTTTTTAACTCAGCCTCATTTCAAGCACTGAATCAAGACCTTATTTTTCTGTGCAAAGATTCAGGAGTAGCTAGTTCATAAAGTATCAGTTCAAATCTCTTTGGGGAACCAAAGTTATCAAAAAATATGTGAAAACCCACAGGCTAATTGAAATACAAAATTCTCCTAAGGGAAAAGTTAAATACCAATGGCATCTTATCTTGCTGGTTCTAATCTTCTTAACGTTGCTACCTGGTGAGAATAACTTTCTTCCACAACCACTTGCTACACAGAAGCATCTTTTGTTAAATTTTAAGTCTTTGACCAAAAAGTTTCCTTTAAGAAAAATTTATAAAAGATGATTAAAAAAAAAGAGTAGCTGGATACTTACTTAACAATTTTCTTTTTGTATTTTTAAAACTGTGATCAGATGCCTAGACATGATGCCAAATTATGAAGAGCGACATTGTAATCATAGAAACTCACTCTCCAATATACATGTTTGGCCCTGATCTTTAAACTTTTTTTTGGCCACACCTATCTATAGTTATCTTCATTTGAGTTTCTCAAATTTGGGTCACCTCAAATCCTTTATTTAAAAATAAAATCATCTTCCTAGCTTTCTGTTTTTCTTGATGTTGTTCATCTATATTTCCAACCTAAAAATCTTGGTATCACCGTGGACACTCACCATTCACAGACATTTATGAAGCATCTACTGTGAGCCAGGTCTCATGCAAAGTGCTGAGGATATAGCA